AACAGCGTTTCCAGTTTCTTATGAAACGTTTCTGGTTTGACTGATTGATACGGTTCTGCCTGCACACACCCAGACTTCACGATACTCTAAAGGAAAACACATTAACAGAGATTAATGTTAAAAAGTGACATGAATGATTTTAGGTTCAACATAAATGAACAGTCATGATCGCTTACCTGAGAGAAACGTTTCAGGCGCTCTGACAGGTTTGAGATGAGTGAGGTTGTACAGATGAGTGGGTTTGTACAGATGAGTGAGTTTGTACAGTTGAGTAACTTGATGCCCTCGATAAAATACTGAATGGAAGAGTTCTTTCCAGAGAAACACAGGAACATTAGTACAAACGTTGGGAATCCTACTTGTAAGCAGCTGTAAGTATCCTACTTATGCTGTTTAACTCCCAGAATGTAGCAGGTTTAGTCCTGCATGTTATAACATAGTAAGTACGTCAGAATGTCAGTTTACACAGACATTCGTTAGAAATTTCATTAAAATGGTTCAAACCCCCAGACTGAATTTAAAAGTGAACAGTAAATCTGTAACATCCCCCATTTTCTCAATTTAACACTTGTACCACAATTATACTTGATTTTTGAAAGCATACCTCAATTTATACCCTAATGGGAACTATAACTGAGAAACATAAACATCATATTTGAACTAGTTATGAGACCACACACAGGATGGTGTTTTCTGTGGTCACAAAGCAACAGAGCTGAGCCCTGTTGCTACAACACAGTGGAAACAGGACTTTTTAAATGACGAATGTACTTGTGACAATGACAATAAAGAATATTCATATTCATTCATTCAATGCAGTTCATGAAGCAGCTTTCATGCCCAGTTGTGTCCTAACAAAGTATAAATCCAAGAGTAAGCACTTTTAAAGGATCTTTGTGCTCGTTTTCATTACATGTCTCCCTATCCTACATCTACATGCACCCCTTTTAAAACCTCTCATGATTGAAAATTACGGCACTTGGTAATGATAACTCCGACTTACCGATTGTGCTACGGAGATGTTTAACTGCTGAGAAAACACAGTGAGAAAACAGAGATGAGCCATCATATTCTTGAATCAGTAAACCAGCATTTGTCCTTGTGCTGTTGTTCAGTACGAGGACAAATGCAAGAGTTACAACTTGTTTTACTTGTTTCAACTACTGACAAGAAGGAAAGTGGATGGGTGCACTTTATAAGGATGTGTTTCTGTATGTATGTAAAAAAAGAGATGAATTAGAAAGCAAGCATCCTCCAGTCAACAAAGCTGCACATGAATAGCTGAAATTAGTTCAGATTAGATAAGAGGGAAGCAAAGAGGAAGTGGTAAAGATGCAGAATAGAGCACGCATGATAGAAAATGCATTTGTGAACGTTTTTGAACATTTTTTAGGGACAGTCAAAAAAGCATTATCCGTCTGTTTGCTTATTGTATATCACATTTAACCTCGCGTGAATTGTAATTTTATATTCTGTTGTTTTTTTTAGAAATGATTTATGAATGCAAGCTGTGTTGTTAGTCCAATCTCTTCCCTCCTGTTATATAACAATCACAGTCACAGAATGAAAGCACGGGAAATAAAAACGCCACCGCTAATGACCAGCGTTAGAACAGAATTTGTTGTGCACTGAAATACTTACTACTCATGGTTCAGTATCATTACTCATATGTTTTCTCACAAGTGCAAGAGCAGTGTAATTATATAAATATATAATGAATGGAAATAATGTAGGAAGCAGGAATACAGATAGACATTGTTCAGAAAGAAAGAAAGCAGAGGCCGCTAAGGGCTAACGGGCTCATGAATTTGAACTCCAATCAATTAAAATGACAGAGAACAGAGAAGTTGGTGAGAAAAGTCATAAGTTCAAGCAACACAAGGTGAAAAAATAAATTGTAGGCTTACAGTTTTGCTGGACTTGTTGGAACACTCCTGTCAATAGGAGAAACAGAGTTGAAGCAACAGCAGTAACAGACAACCTAAATGTCAAATAGATGCCGAGCAGCAACATGGGCTACTTTATCAGCTATCTATTCCGCACTTCACCCACACAAAGTCAGCAGTTTTCTTGTAGCTTACATGAGAATGGTGCAGGTGAATCCCTGAGAAGAGGCTTTTGATTCACCAATTCAAAGTTTTACCCCTGACATACTGAAACCCTACGTTACACGTCTATATAACAACCTAAACGAAAAGAGAAACACTTTGGATAACAAAGTAAGTAATCAGATAAAGCAGACAGGACACAATAACATCTGACTGCTTTTTAAAAGATGGTTTTGTGCATAATTTTGTTGAATTTCTTTATAGTTCTAAGTACCACCACATAAAAAGAATCACAATACAATTTTTCACTCACTGGTTGGTCAGCTTACCTTCAGAGCATTCAGCTCTGTTGTGGTCGCTGTTACCGATGGTTCTGATGCACAATTACTGGTAGCAGGAGCTGAAAAGGATGAAATGACAAAAAGAGCCAGAAGCATTGGGAGCAGCATCCATGAAGAGGTGGAGGTAGAGGATCCAGTCATGATGACAATAATAGGTATAGACCTGAGAGCTTACGCTGAAATATTCTTTTAGATTTTCAGTCAATATTTTAATTCAAATAATTGAATAACAGGCTGTATTTTCAAGCTCAGATTCAGTCCCTGCAAAGGTGCTGTTAACTGTTTATACAGCTTTATCAGTTTTCGTCCCAAGTCTTGTTGCATGAACCTTCTACTGAGTTTGTGGATAGGTGATAGCTTGCCACCTTTTTAATACACCGGGTCGACACATTTCCGAACTTTGGGGAATCCCTACTTGTGTGTCCATTAGGTTATGCTCCCACACAGGATGTCCTTAGTCAATAGGACCCTGACATGGTGGCAAGACTGATACAGCATGTTTGTGCTCATGCTAGCCACATATCAGTGAGATCTCACTACTTATGACTGTCGCGGCATTTCCTCACCTCTGTGAAGAGCTGGCCGTCACTGTACAGAGGAAAATAAGTCAGATACTTTCTCTTTTGTAGTTTGGTGGCTGTGCACTGAAATCAGGTTTTATCCAGCCAGCAGCTCTGAGACTACGATGGTAGAACTTGGAGAAAATTTAATTTGATTGTATTTATACAGCTCCAAATCACAACAAGTTCATCATATTGTAATGATAATAATGTCGTTTATTGATCCCAATGGCGAAATTACTCTCTCTGCATTTGAACCATTCTCTCAGTGAAGCAGTGGGCAGCCTCTAAGCAGGCACTGTAAAGCGCTTTGAGTGCTCAGAAGAGTAGTAAAGCACTATATAACAACCAGTCCATTTACCATTTAGCAGTATATGCATGTAAATGTCACTTTCCAGTGATTATTTTCATGTTGACTTGTAATAAAATATCTCTGCTGTTACTGCAGTTGTAACTTTGCATACATTTCATCTTTTGGAGCATGAGAAGGACACAGTGGACTTTACAGTTCTGTGTAGCATAGCAGAGAAAACAAAAGACATGCATAGATTCATGCTTTTGTCTAGTTGGCTAAGAATCTTACAATAATAGTATTTTTGTGGGCTAAGTGAATGACCAGTTGTATTATTTTGTTGGCCATTATATGCACAATGCCAGTTACAGAGGTTGGGGGCTGCTGCTCCAGACCATGCACCTGAACATATAAAAGTGATGAGCACCACTTTCATTGAATTTTGAGTGTTTTAATCAACCTTGTTACACCTGTGGGAATCCACTCACTCACTTACTGACTGAATTTGGTGGCAAAAAATGTTTTTGTGCTAATTTAAGAGCAGTTAAATCACACCGGTCCATCTTAACCAGGAACACTAAAGTAAGGGGCGGGAGGTGAACACAACCGGAGGGCTAATCTGTGCTTCTCTTTTTACTGTGTGAGAAAAGGGGGGTGGAGAACACACTGTAGTGGAAGAATGGGTGAAACCGAAGACTCGGACTTACTTAACATTCTCTTATTAACTGAAATTAAAATCAAGCCTTTCAGAACCTTAACTCTGTGTTTTATGTGACAGAAAGAAATTAAGGCAAACATCTCTAATTTGCACGTCTTCACCCGAGCCATGCAAATGATCAGTTCTGAATTTTGATCAGATTCTGGAACAACATTCATTATGATTTTGGTAGAAGAACAACTGAAAGCAAGCAGTACATGACCAAGTTTTCAGAGTTCACTAGAAGTGTTCAATACAAAGTGTATTTCACCCAGCTGCAGTGAAGGGTTGCTGCTGTGGTGAAGACAGATATTAATAAAGTGTCACTGTAAAGTGTCAAGATTAGCTTTATGAACCATCCTTGCATTTTGAAACTAGACACTCTGTTCAGCTTACCATTCACCAGTCACATCAGCTTTTGACATATCATGCTTTTTGAACATGTTAAAGTAGTTAAAATATGAAATAAACACAAGAGAATAAATGATCCTATTAAAATAAATACTAAATGAACATTGACGTTTTTGTAAAAACAAGTTTTGAGGAGTGATTTAAAAGCAGACAGCTTGCTAACTGCAGCTGCTCCATCCCTTTTGCATTGAGGCGGGCTGTGGGAACAGTTAGGAGAGGTGGGGTTAGGTCAAAGTAATAAATAAAAGTTTAGATGAGGTTGGTATCTTAAACTGATTTAAACTGGTTTGGTATCTGGTGGCCAGTGTAGTGGAGCAAGGGTAGGAGGGATATGCAGTCTCTGATAAAGGTTTTGAAAAGACTGGAGGGGAAATATTCCTCTTCCATACTGGTCGATTGCTTGTCATCTTTATTTTAGTCATTAGACACCATCTTGCTCAATTATTCCGTTACATTCCCCTGGAATTACCGACCAAGACACTTTGTTAATGTTGGTGGCAATGTGGGTGCAAACCTCACACAGAATTCCACTGATGAAGTAAAATGATAACAACGTGGCTTTGTTTCCTCTGCAAAACGAATTTTGCTTTGAAGGTTT